AGGAACTTATAAACAGAGAAATACACTCACAAGTGTTCAATAGAATATCATGTATAGAAACAAATATCCACCAATAATGCCAGTTAAATAAGAGAACATCCATGCTATAGAATTCTACACATACATTAAAAAAAAAATGGTGTGGCTTTCCTTTTTCACCAATTTACTAAATATCCACAGCACTTGGATTTGGCCGTGAACAGGCCAGACTCTCTCCAATCCTGAAGAGCTTTGGTTCTACTTTAAGAAAAATATTTAAGGACTTCCCTGGTGGCACAGTGGCTAAGACTCTGCACTCCCGATGCAGGCAGCCCAGGTTCAATCCCTGGTCAGGGAAATAGATCTCATATGCCACAACTAAGACCAGGTGCAGCAAAATAAATAAATGAAATAAATATTTTTTTTAAAAAAAGAAAAAAAATGTTTAGTTTCTCAAATACATTTTTCCAGACGGTTCCTGTGCTCTTATTTCATTGGATAACACAAACAGTCATGCAGATGGTATGTAACCATGAAATGAAACAATTGACAGGAAGAAGCTGTTCTAAGGTCTACACAGGTGGACAACCATCCTTGGAGCTTCCATGGCTCTAAAAGATACAGATGGAATTCCAGTACCATAAATAAACACTCATGGAGAGCCTCAACTATTTCTGAGTTATATACTACAAAGGCAAAATCAATATGTCATTAGCTGCAACTTGACGACCAAGGTTTCATTGTAATATAGGGTATGTCTTCAGAGCCAGCCAGCTAACCTAGTGGCCCCTTAACTCCACCCACATTGATTTATTTTTTAATTTTTATTTATTTGGTTGCACTGGGTCTTCCTTACTGCATGTGGGCTTTCTCTAGTTATGGGGAGCGAGCGCTACTCATTGTTGCAGTGCACAGGCTTCCCATTGTGGTGGCTTCTTGTTGCAGAGCACAGGCTGTAGGCGTGAGGGCTTCAGTTGTGGTAGCTTGTGGGCCCTAGAACGTTGTAGAGCTCCGCAGCATGTGGGATCTTCCCAGATCAGGGATCAAACCCAAGTCCCCTGCACTGGCAGGCAGATTCTTACCCACTGCACCACCAGGAAAGTCCCTGCTTTTTTTAGTGAAGTATTTCTTCAAGGGCAAAAGGACTGTCATCAGACGGTATCTCATGACTTGGATCTCATGCTTAGATTTCTTTTTTCTTAGTCTTGACCTGGCTTACCCTAATTTGAGGATCTCGAACGCTCTCAAAATCAACAAAAGGAAAGCTCTGATGCCATAGGTACCGACAAGGAAAGTTTTTCATGATATGATAGTAAGGGGAAAATGTAAAAATCATGGTGCAGAATGAGATTTCAATATGATGCAGTTTTTGTGGGAAAGGTTGTATCTAATGTTCATGCACACACACACACACACACGTTGTACCTAAGTATAGTAAAAGATCTGGGATGATATGTACCACACTGTAACATTCTGGAGAGGGAGGTGGCAGAAGGCAGGATAGATGCTAGAGCGGAATGCTCAGCATTTACACTGTGCTTCTGTGATGCTAAATTTTCCCACAAAAAGCATGTATTATTCTGAAATTAAAAATCAAAGAAAAAAGCTAGATGATACAGGCCATGTAGGCAAAAGTTGGGAATTAAGAAATCACTGTGGATTCGGCAGCAGGTAGAGGACATGGTCAGTGTGGCCATGGTTGCTGGGTTGGTGCGGAGACTCCTTGAGCAGGTCTGGTCTGCTGAGGAGGCAGTTCCCCTGGACCACGCCAGCCACACTGCAGGTGACAGTTCATGAGGCTATAAATCAAGGTATGGAGGAGGAGATGGAAAGAGCTGGGAAGGTATTTCTACTTGGGGAAGAAGTTGCCCTATACGATGGGGTTAGTTGAGGCCTGTGGAAAAAATATGGAGATAAGAGGATCATAGATAACTCCCGTATCAGAGTCGGATTTTGCTGGAATTGCTGTAGGTGCAGTTCTGGCTGGGTTAAGGCCCATTTATGAATTTATGCCCTTTAATTTCTCTATGCAAGTCATTTGCCAGGTTATAAACTCAGCTACCAAGACCTATTACACATCAGGAGGCCTTCAGCCGGTGCCCTTAGTCTTCAGGGAGCCCAGTGTCGCCCCAGCAGGCGTAGCTGCCCAATACTCACAATGCTTTGCTGCCTGATATGAGCACTTCCCAGGCTTAAAGGTGGTCAGTCCCTGGAATTTAGAGGATGCAAAAGGATTTATTAAATCTGCCATTCAAGGTAAGTCCAGTGGTGGCGCTGGAGGTGAATTGATGTATAAAGTTCCTTTTGAACTTCCCCAGGAGCTCAGTCAAAAGATTATATGATCCCTAAAGGAAAAGCCAAAATAGAAAGGCAAGGTACACATGCAACCATAGTTTCTCATTCAAGACCTGTCGGCCACTGCTTAGAAGCTCAACAGTGCTATCTAAAGAGGGACTTGAATATGAGCTGATAAATTTGCAAACCATCAGACCAATGGACACTGAACAATAGAAACCAGTGTCATGAAGACCGTCACCTTGTTATTGTGAAAGGAGGCTGGTCACAGTTGGCAGTAAGAGCTGAAATCTGTGCCAGGGTGATGGAGGGTCCTGTGTTCAATTTCCTGGATGTTCTACAGTTTGTGTCGCCGCCACTGATGTCCCTGGGCCTTATGCAGATTCTAGAAGACGCTATACCTCAGGTTAAGGACTTCATATTTACAAAAAAGAAAACACTAAATATCTAGTTTGTACTTGAATTTCAGGTCATTGGGATTTACTTAAAATACTTGCTGACACTTCATCTGGACTGTCCTGTAAGAACTTCTGATTTGTAAAATTATCTCTAAAAGCAACAAAAGATGTTTTTGTACTGGGAAGAAGTTTAAATGTGTTTGTAGAAAAGCTCTCCACTCTCCTGCCTAAGTTCCACACTCTTTCGGTCTGCTACAAGCAGCCAAGTTCTCTGAATAAGATTGACGTACAATTTTACCCTCTCGCTAGAAGGACAAGGTTTAAGTGCAGCAGAGTCCTGATGAAAGATATATCCAAAAAAGGATAACTTAAATGTAAAAATAAAAGCATACAATCTACATTTGCTGTTAGACTGTTTTGATGAGGAATAAAGGAATTCCTACTTTTAAAAGAAAAGGAAGTCAGCGTGGAAGTTATGGGGCGCTGTTGCAGGGCTTAGGCATGCAGCGAATGTGGTGTTTTGTACCGATGTGGAGGGTGGTCTGGGGAAAACTAAGAAGATTGCTGGGGCAACCAGTGAGGAGACCGTGAAAGGACTTAAGAGATGCTAAGACTGTGAACACAGTGGATCTTGGAGCCTGGCAGCTGTGAGGGGGTGAGAGGTGGAGAGATGCAGGCAACTGGGGGATGTGCTCAGTGGGGCTGCTGGAGAAACAGCCATATTCTGGGGGCAGCTGAAGAATTCAGTGTGGGTCACGTACTAGCTGAACATGGGAAACCCCGATCACGGGGTCCAGCTCAGGCCTTCAGGAGACAGGTCACCTCTCACATGTGACTTCACGTCGGGCAGTTTCCCTAGGTCACTCAGCATATGTGTATTAGGAGTGATTGAGGGATATAGTGTCAACAAATAAAACAGGAGAAGTGTCAAACGCTCTTTTGAGACTTGGAAATGCTCTCCCTGCAGACCTGTGAGTGTGGGGATGTTTATGTATCCACAGAGTGTTTCTTTTGATCAAAAGGGGGGAAGCTTGAGCTCAGAGCAGGCTTTGTGCTTCTGGGGAGAGGGGTTACCCGGAGGTCCTCATCCACCCAGGATGGTCAGTAGGTGCCCAAGCCAAGCTGAGTTACTGTCCCCTCTAAAGCATCTCCCACCCACCCCCAACCCCTTCCCTGGCTGTGGACTAGGTGCTCCAAACCAGAGGCTGTTTATAATCTTTGGTCCTGAGCCTGGAGGCACCTCTGACCTCCTGATTGTATACAGTTCCCTCGGGGCTGTGGGATTTTCTGGGCATGGTACCCACCAACTAAGGAGTTCACCAATTCATTCCAAATATGTGCTAGGTATCTACTGCCAGGAACAACTCCAAGGACTGAGGCAGAGCTATGGGCAAGCACAGCCAGTCTCCACCCTCCTAAAACTCAGAGACTGTTCAGTGGGCATCAAAGCTCTTCCTGGCCTTGCCAGTGACATTCTGGGCTTTTCTGTGGAGCATGGATGGTGCTGTCTGAGCACTGCTGGGCCCAGGCCAGGGGAAGGCAGGCTCTGGGATCAGCTGAATCTGCTCTGAGGAAACCCCCACCAGAGCTGAACTTGCGCACCTATGGATGCTTACACTTTGAAAAGCATACGGAAGCCCTCAGCCCCAATGTGTTATTGAAAATAAAAACCCAAACCAACCTCGAAGTGAAGCTAAGCAAGATTAACAACATTATGATTTTTCTCCCCCACGTTGGTGATTAAGGCTTTCCTTCCCAATGTTAATTACCAGATTCTTCCTCAAAAAATTCTTTTAGGTTCTCAAGCTTCAAGGGTGCCCTACACACTGCCCAAAGCAAAATAGAGCAGGATAACATGAGTGGCCCAGGAGCATGGGGTCCAGGCTTCTCTTTGCCCTCCTTGTCCAAAGGAGTCGGATCCAGTGTGTAGTCTCATGAGGCCGTGGGGGTGATACTCCTTGGGGCGAGGTGCGGCTGGAGCAGACCCTAGTCAGCGCCTGGACGCAGAGGGCATGAGCTGCCGTCCAGTCTGGACACAGTGTGGAGGGAAGGGCAGAGCCTGGCTCCCAAGGGGAAGGGTCTGAGATGGAAACCTTAGTTGTGGCTCAGGGGGCCCGTTGGTGTCCAGGTAGCTGGGACACAGCCTCCCCAGCGCAGAACTGCCAAGACTCCAGGGCGCCCCCACCTAGGGCAGGCTGTCTCCACACCTGGGTAGGTAGAGGCTCCGCAGCAGGTGAGGGTGTGGGGTGGACAACGTCACCATGTCAAAGCCGTCCTCTTCCCTAAGCCCAGCTCTCCTCACTAAATACCTGTGGTCCTGTTTTACAGAGCGACGAGGTCCTCACCGTCATCAAAGCCAAAGCTCAGTGGCCAGCCTGGCAGCCTCTCAACGTGTAAGTAGCAACAGGGCCCTGTCCAGCCCTGGTCCCGGCCTTGTACTTGGAGCTGCCTGCCTACTGGCCACCACGTGCCAGTCAGGTCGTATAAGTCAGTACAGCCTCTTAGGTGAGGTGCACTGCCCACTGCCCACGGGTAGAGTAGCAAGTATTTCCACTCCTCGGGGAATGCAGGCTTGGTATCTGTGTCCCCCATGGCTTTACCACCAGAGTACCCCAACATTGGAGGTGTTAAGAACACAGTTAACTGTAAGACATCAGGGGGAGAATTCTGCACTAAGATATAAAATTGAGGGTCACCAGAGACATTACTTTGCCAACAAAGGTCCGTCTGATCAAGGCTATGGTTTTTCCAGTGGTCATGTATGGATGTGAGTGTTGGACTGTGAAGAAAGCTGAGCACCAAAAAATTGATCCTTTTGAACTGTGGTGTTGGGGAAGACTCTTGAGAATCCCTTGGACTGCAAGGAGATCCAACCAGTCCATCCTAAAGGAGATCAGTCCTGGGTGTTCATTGGAAGGACTGATGCTGAAGCTGAAACTCCAGTACTTTGGCCACCTCATGCGAAGAGCTGACTCACTGGAAAAGACCCTGATGCTGGGAGGGATTGGGGGCAGGAGGAGAAGGGGATGACAGAGGATGAGATGGCTGGATGGCATCACCAACTCGATGGGTATGAGTTTGAGTAGACTCCGGGAGTTTGTGATGGACAGGGAGGCCTGGCGTGCTGCGGTTCATGGGGTCACAAAGAGTCGGACATGACTGAGCGACTGAACTGACTGAACTGAAGGCGTGGGAAACAATCAACACTAAGGACATAGATAAAAGAGAGAGCCGGAGGATGAGTCAAGGGCTTGGAACAGAGTCCCAAGGGAGCTCTAACATTTACTGCTGAGGAGGACTTGCCTGCAAAGGAAGCAAAAACAGATTAGCAAGGAGATTAGGGAAGGAAGCTTCGTATCAGGGAAACCAAGGAAAGAAAGCATTCAAAGAGAGAGCGGGGAATTCCTCGGTGGTCCAGGGGTTAGAACTCTATGTTTTCACTGCCGAGAGTGAGGGTTCATCCTCTGGTTGGGGAACTAAGATCCTGCAAGCCTTGCAGTGTGGCCAAGAAAAAAAAGAGAGAGAGAGAGAGAATGACCAGCTGTGTCCAGGGTAGCTGAGAGATCAAGGAAAGTTGGAGCTGCACAATGCCCATTGGATTTATCAACATCATCAGTGACCTTACTGGGAATCTGTTCTGCTGAGTAATGGGGAGAGGGGACACAGCCTGGAACAGGGTGAAATGTGAACAGAAGGTGGGGTTATGGAATCAGTGAGTGCAGGCAACTCTTCTGTGAAGTTTGCTGTGAAAGAAGAGAGACTAGGCAGGAGGTCCAAGAGGATGAAAGAATCAGTGGAGCTTTTTTTTTTTAAGATGGAGGAGACTTACTGAAAACTTGAAAAAAATATTTGGGGGCACCTTCTCACCCTTCACCCACCCCTCAGACTTCCTGAGACCCTAGTGAAACAGGATTGATCCAAGGCAAACACTGATTTCCCGAACTCCCAAAGCTTCTGCCCTTGGTGCTACCAGCTTGTGAAGGGAAAGGCATTTTCCTTCAGTTTTCCCATACCCCAGGCTCCCCTTTCCTATTCCAAATCTCATTAGGAAGTCAAATTAGGAAGCCTACACGCAGCCAAGTTTTGCTTTGCAGAAACATCCCTGCCCCTCCTTGTGAGCCTGCTCGATTGAGGTTAATGGGATTCCAGCCTCCCTCGGGCCGGTGGAAAGCCGGGGTGACCTACTTTGTGAGGTCCTGCCTGGCGAAACTGACTTGTTTTTCAATGATCTTCATCTTTATCCCCAGGACCACTTCTCAAAGGACAGCCATGAATGAACAAATTAGCTGCTGACTTGTTTAGCTCAATAAATCAAGCTGCAGCTCCAACAGCCCAGAGAACAGGTAGAAACAGGAAAGACAAATTCTGAGCAAAACGCATATCGTTCACGAGTTCCTCCAGTGCCGGAGTAGAAAATGCCCAACTTTCCTACCAATTAATGCTGAATTTTCACCACCCAGTTCCTCCAGGTTAATCTGTTAGGAATTACTGAATCTTTTAAAGATAAGATTTATTCCCTTTCTTATAATGCATCCTGTAAATCATCCCCTTAATTGTTCCCAGCCATTCTGTTTAATTAACATGTGTTTAGACAGATCTGTTTGCTAGAAAAATGAGAGGTTAAATAGAGACAAGGTCATCACCCTTTCCAAAAATCATGCCTCTGGAGAGTCTGTGCCCCCTTACTCATTTCAGTCATGGTTCCCAGGAGGCCAGACGCATCTTTCTCTCAAATCAGAGCTGGAAGTTTCAGAGCCCTCGAGTCTCCTGGAGAACCTGCCCAAGTCCGTTGATTTCCTCAGGATTGTTAAAAAGGACTGGCTTTGAATCTGAGAAGCCAACAGTAGATCTAAATGGGCCAGATGGACCTGGAGCCCTAGATGCCTCCAGGTTATAAACAGTTTTCCAAGGTAGAAACCTCACTGAAACATTTCTCCACCCACACAGAACTTCAATTTAGTGAATGACTCCGGCGCCATCTAGTGTCAAGATTGAGTTTCTGCAACTTTGAAAGCTGTACTGGAGATCATTTGAAATGAACAGAAGGGACAAAAAATGCGACTTGAGTCTCACTGATTGTTTTTGTTCAGTCGCTAAGTCTGGTCCGACTCTTTGCGACCCCATGGACTGCAGCACTCCAGGATCCTCTGTCCTTCACTGTCTCCTGGAGTTTGTTCAAATTCGTGTCCATTGAGTTGGTGATGCTATCTATATCATCCTCTGCCGCTCAGTTCTCCTCCTGCCTTCAATCTTTCTCAGCATCATGGTCTTTTCTAATAAGTCAGCTCTTTGCATCAGGTGGCCAAAAAATATTGAAGCTTCAGCTTCAGCATCAGTCCTTCCAATGAATATTCAGGGTTGATTTCCTTTAGGATGGACTGGTTTGATCTCCTTGAATCCAAGGGACTCTCAAGAGTTCTCCAGCACCACACGTCGAAAGCATTAGTTCTTCGGCCAGAGTCTAAATGATACAGATCCATAACTTAGATTAGTACAGTAAGTCTCTAGAAAGACCATAACAATCCTTAATTGGCTCTTTTCTTTTGTCGTGTTTTTGAAAGTTTTGTTTAGAAAAGCTGAATGAGAAGGAAATCTGCATTTACCAAGTCATAGTAGAATGCCAGTCTTGATGATGAGCAGTTTCCTCACTAAAAGCCCTGGGGTGGGTCTGAGGGTGTTCCCATTTTGCAGATTAGTAACTGCAAAGTGAGCTGAAGTCAAAGCTGCTGCCACATCCAGCGGTTTCTTCCAGTCCCCTTTATCCCTCCCCACACCATGCTGCCTCTCTGAATGTAAAAAGACAAAACATCTCCATGCCTTCATTTTGTTTTCATTTTTCTGGTATAAATTATCTGTTTATAACTTTAATTTACCTATTAGAATCATCAGGTTTTGTTTTTACAGATTTAGACTAGCTCTGTACATACTATGCTCATGTTTAGGGCTCAGTCGTGTCTGACTCATTGCGACCCCATGGACTGTAGCCCGCCAGGCTCCTCTGTCCATGGAATTCTCCAGGCAGGAATACTGGAGTGGGTTGCCATTCCCCTCTCCAGGGGACCTTCCCGACCCAGGGATCAAACGCACATCTCCTGCATTGGCAGGCAGGTTCTTTACCATTGCACCACCTGGGAAGTGTGTACATACTATAGATATTAATATTTGCCAGTCACACTAGAGGGAGACATTTTTTGCCAGCACATCATTCTTTAGTTCTATTTCAACACTGTTGTATCCATTATGTAGATGTTTTTAATTGGTATATTATTCAATTAGTTACTTTTGTGATTTCTTTTATAGTTTCAAAGCTGAAAAAAGTTAATGTTTCTCTCACAGATCAGAACACTTGACTTCTTTCCTATGATATGGTTGTTTTCTACTTAACCCTGAGTTTTTGCTGTTTGGGGGAATTTGATGTGTGTGATACTAGATGTAAATCCTACATATTTTTAAACTGCAATTAAGTTATCCCAACCCCATTTGCTGCACGATCTTTCCTCTCCCTCAGTTGTGTATGAGTCCTTATCTAAAGTTTCTGGAATCTTCACACTGGGCCACTGATTTATATTTCTGTTTTTCTATTTTATGTTTAGATTTCATTTATTTATTTTTGGCTGCGCTGTGTCTCTGTTGCTGCACGCAGCCTTTCTCTGTTCGCAGTGAGCAGGCTTCTCATTGCAGTGGCTTCTCCTGTTACGGAGAACAGGCTCTCGGGTCCACGGGCCCTGTAGTTGTGGCACACAGGCATGAGGAATCTTCCCGGACCAGAGATCGAACTTGTGCTCCTTACACTGGCAGGCAGATTCTTAACCACTGGACCACCAGTGGTTCTTATCCTGAATATTACACCATTTTAATTATCATGCTTTATAATATATTCTGATACATAGTATGGCCAGGACAACTCTCTTTGCCAGAAAAGTGATAAAAATTTAAATCCCAGATAGAAAAATAAGACCAAATTAACAAAACACTATGTATGGGAAGACATAGAATATAAGAAAAGATGAATAAGAATTTTTATTATGAATTAAAGAATTCCAATCATATCTAGCATTTCCTAAAGAAAATTCACATATATTTTTATTATTTCATTACTTTAAACAGCATTTTTAATTATAAAAGTAATAAATACTTTGAGGTAATTTTCAAATTAGATCTGAAGGCCAAAGCAGGTGCAAAAGCTCTATGTTCATTTCCTAGATTAACTCATTTATTTCAAAAAACACTTGAGGAGAACCTACTGCATGCCAGGTTCTAGAGCAGGCCCTGGGACACAGCTGCAAACAGGACAGAAATGGTCCTTACTCTTTTGGAACCTAACAGGACAGACAGAAATTAAAAAAGAAACTCCAAGGAAAGAGTGAGTTCAACATGCTCTGGGAAGGTACACCTAAGCAATTCAAGGTGAGGACAGGAAACATTTCCTCCAGAGCATGTCATGTAAGCAGAATGTAACTGAAGATATTAGAAAACCATTCCCAGACTTTTAGACATTCAAATTTACCATATTACTCAATTACCATATTACTGTTTCGTGCAGGGACTGGTTGCCCCAGAACTTCCTATCCCTTGAAACTTAACCAAGGTCTGGAGGATGCCTCACCCAGGTTACAGATCTGGCCAAAATGCACTAGCAGGAAATGATTTGTATACACCTTGTACAAAGCAGAAGGCTCTCAGATGGTTACATCCTTTAGTTGGGCAGGGTGTCAGGGTGGTGTGTCGGGTGAGGTTTGGTTTGTGTTGGTTTGGTTTCTCCAGCTCTGGATTTCTGGGCAGAGGTGTTTTGGTACTCTGGGGGCTATGAGATAGTGTCACCCATGGGGTACAGGAGATGAAAGACTCACCTGATCCACAGCCACATGCTCAGGGAGATGGGAAGGTAACAAGTGTAGTGGTTGGTCGCTATGAAAATGGAAGAGAAGCCTTCCTCCAAGGCACTGCTGGACTCCCGAGGGGTCGAGATCCAAGCAGTCCCACTTTGCCCACATGCCCATGCTCTCTGCCAGCCAGACCCCAGACCGTGTCCTGTTAATCCCTAAATGAGCAACACCACAGCTCCCCAGACTGCAATTCTTGTAGAAACCAAGACTTTAAAGAAGCTGCTCAAAGCAATGACCTACATGCCAGAAAATGCACGCATGGGGAAAGGAAATGAGGTCCCCAATCTGTGCCTAACTAAACAGCAGACTGTGTAAGTGTGGCTTCAGCAGTCTAAAGGCTCCCTAACATAGCATCTCCTTTGAGCCTCACAGCATCACGGCAGGTGGGTAATGTCACAGGAGGAAACCAAGGCTGGAAGAGTGAGTGAGTTAATCTAGTAAGTAGTGGAGCTCATCATCACACATCCACTTGTTCAGCTGGCCCACTGGACACCTGGTACTGGGATTCTTGCCCTCAAGGGGCTCCTAGGCTAGTGGGGGCGAGCAAACAGTGAGGAAGAGATTGCAACCAAAGGGTGCAGCCGAGACCTGCGCAGAGTGTGTGTGAACACAGACCAAGGGTACCGGGCTCAGTACAGGCATCAGAACAGCTCCCGGAAGAGGTGACTCAGAACCTGAGCTTGGAAGATGAGTAGACCACTGAGTCTCAAATTTGAGGCACATTAGAATCATTGAGAGGATTATTAAAACAAAATGCTGGGTCCTACCCTCCCCCCTTCCCAGATTCTCTAAGTAAATCTGGGGTGAGGCCCAGTTATTTGCATTTCCAACAAGTTCCAACGCTGATGCTGCTGGTCCCAGACCATGCTCTGGGGAGGAGGTCCACCTCCTCACAGCTCCACCGAAGAGGAGCTTTTCCAGCACAGGCAAGGGCATGTGGGACCTGATGCCAAAGCCAGGCTCAGGCCAGGCTCTTCCTCCACTCAGGTGCCTCCCCTCAACCTAGACTGGCATCAGGCTAAAATGTGAAGTGCATCCAGGAAGGCCTCCCTCCCCTGGCCTCTATTTTCTGGTCTCCATCTGACCCTTCAATGCTGCTTCACTCAGTAACATTTTGTCAGGTGCCAGGCACTGGGCGAAGGGCCAACTATGAGTTCTCATCAAACCCTCACAGTAACCCTTCGGGGTAGATGTTAGGGGGAATCCCCAATCTGTAGACTGGGACACTGAGGCACAGAAAGGTTGGTCATTCCAAGGATACACAGCTCTAAGAGGTGGTGTGGGGTGTGCACCCAGGTTTCCCGCCTGCTCTGCTCATGGTCTGATCCCCTCTGACTTGCCCAGGGGACCCAGTTCCACCGAGCCCAGCCAGGCCTGGAGTCATCGCTTTCAGGGGACAGGTGAGAGCAGCCAGAAGCAGCTGGTCCCAAACAGAGCAGCAGAGGGACGCCCCAAACAGCTGCTAGCCGGACTGAATAGACGAGCTGGTCCCCAGCCAAGGATTCCCCACGATCAGCAGCCTGGGAGGCGAGGGAGAGTCAAGCAGAGCTGCCTTCACACCGCGGCCTCACCAGCTGCGTCTCTGAGCTCATTAACTTCTGTTTGCCTTCTTTTCTACAAAATGAGATAATAAACCCCAACCCCACAGGAGTGTCATGAGGGGAAAATAAAGCAGCGTAGCTGTGCCACAAGTGTGCGCCGAGTGAACGCATCTCTCCCACCACGCTGCTTGGTCTCATCTGGCTCTGCCGCTCCTAGGACCCCTTCTTGGGAACATGAGGGGATGGTGGTTGAAGGACTGCCTCTCATGGCTTGGGGGTCGTCAGCCAAAGGTCTTTGGCTCTATAGCTGGGTCCTTGCTCACCCACTGGAGGAAACGGCCTGGGGACCAGCTGTGAGGTGATGGGTGAGCTCTGGTGTCAGGGCAGCGCCCTGCTCTAAGCAGCCTCTAGAGGGCAATGAGGCAGCAGGCTGGGGAGATGCCCCCTAGATGGCACAACGTAGCTCTAGAGAGTGGAAGTGGAGGGAACTTAGATGATGAAAAGAACACAGACCTCGAACTGAGATTGACTTGGGTTGTGGTCTCTGTTCTGCCACTTTACGACTTTGGCCAGGTCACATAACAAAACCCTCTGAGCCTCAGCTTTCCCATCCATAAGTTGGAGTCAATAATCCTTACCCCAGGTCTGCTCTGAGGCATCACTGAGAATGTCTAAGGAAAGGCTTGGGACATCATTATGCAGTTTTTACCTGCCACGTTCACCACACATCCAGTGCAGCTGGGTGCACACGCAGCTTATAATACTTGTTCATTCGTTTATTCAGAAACATCGGCTGAGCATCTATACTGTGCCAGGCACTGGAAATAAAGCCATGAGGAAGGCAGACAGGATCCCTGCTATCCCAGAGCTTACACTCCAAAAAGGAATGACAGTCAATAAACAGTTAGACAAATAAAATAGTAGTTAAGTGCTGAAGACACATTAAAACTGGATAGGGCGGTAGCATATGGCTCCCTCCATGTGTGGCCAATGGACGGGCTCAGAGAGAAACCAGCAGTGGCCAAAGATGGAAACCAAGAATCCCCCTTCTCTCTCTCCCTCTCATCCTTTAGCCATTGTCTGCCCAGATGTCCCTCAGAGCGTTCACTCCCAGGGCCCCAAAGGTAATGGTCTCCGCATTTGTTTGCAGGAGAGCAGCACCCTCAGCTGAATTTTCAGTGGACAGGACGCGCCACTTGATGTCCTTCCTGACCATGATGGGCCCCAGCCCCGACTGGAACGTGGGCCTGTCTGCAGAGGACCTGTGCACCAAAGAGTGCGGCTGGGTCCAGAAGCTGGTGCAGGACCTGATTCCCTGGGACGCGGGCACCGACAGCGGGGTGACCTATGAGGTGTGTGCGTGCCTGGAGTGGTGAGTGACAGACCTTCCTGAGCGCCTGCTCCCTGCCCCGCCCTGTTCTGGGGGCCCTGCTCTCAGAGCTGAGGCTGGCTCAGGCTCTGAGCCAGATGAACTCACCGTCCAGCAGGGGAGCCCAGCAGGGTCCCATCGTCATGTACTCACAAGCTGTGTGACGCGGGCTCTGGGAAATGCCTGTCCAGATGGTCAGGAGAGCACAGGGAGGGGGTCTGCTAAAGAGAGGTTCAGAGATAAGTGAAGGAATGGCAGGCAACAGGCACAGAGGCTGAGAGAGAGAGAGAAGGGGGAACAGAAGGAAGATGATGTTCATTAAGCTGGACCAGATTCCCAAGGCTTCCAGACGGCCAGGCTAAGGAGTTTGGATTCTCCCATCAATGTCAATATTTTTCAGAGACGGCCAGCACACCAACTGCATCAAAATCTGGAGCCATCAGAAAACTAGAGGTAGAACAATCTAGAACAGATGTTGGTAAACTGTGGTTTGGGGCCAAACCTGGAGCTTTGGAATCCGGCCTCCACATTTTGATCCCATGTTGTCTGGGGCTGCTTTCTCACAACAACTGAGTTGACTCATTGCAACAGACACGGCGTGGCCCATGAAGCCGGAAATATTTACCACATGACCCTCCGCAGACAAACATTAACCAATGCCTGGTCTAGGAGGAAGAACTCTGAATCAGGCCAGCCTAGTTCAGCTATATCCTAGCTGGAAATGGCTCTCTGAAACTTGGCATCTTCATGTGGGATTAATCCTACTGTGTACACAGGAGAATTTGAAAGTATAGATCTACAAATGTCCATGCATAACACATGGCATGAACCAAATTCTATAAATAACAGTTGAACTTGTTAAGTTCCTATCAAAGTTTTTGTTCTGATCATATATCAAATTGTTAATTTCCCACTCTGTGTATTTTTTCCATTGCAGTCACCCAACAAGCCCACAATTCCCCAGGAGAAAATCCGACCCCTGACCAGTCTTGACCATCCCCAGAGTCCTTTTTATGATCCAGAGGGTGGATCCATCACTCAAGTAGCCAGAGTGGTCATCGAGAGAATCGCCCGGAAGGTACTGGGTCACAGTTCACCCTGGCACAGACCCCTCCCATCAGGAGACTAGACCCCTTTCTGCTCTAGAATCATGGGGTCCCTGGGATATTTAGGACGTGGAATTCCTGGGCCTCTCAGAGTTTCTAGATGCAAATTATTCCTATGATATAAATAAGCAAAATGAACATGGAGGAATGATGTGACGCTCAACCAAATGATTTACTCCAGGTAACTAGGCTTCATGGTAAGTGCCATAATCAATTACTAATGTCTGCCATGGGCTTCTCTGGTGGCTCAGTCGGTGAAGAATCCACCTGCAATGCGGGAGGCGTGGGTTCGATCCTTGGGTTGAGAAGATTCCCCTGGAGGAGGGCATGGCAACCCATTCCAGTGGTTTTTTGCCTGGAGAATCCCTGTGAACAGAGGAGCCTGGCGGGCTATAGTCCAAAGGGTGCAGAGGCAGACACGACCGAGCAACTAAGCACAGCACACAGCCATGGGTCAGGAAGTGGGAAGTTGTGGCTTTACTGCCATTTCTTTTTTCAGTCAGATTGTAAAAGTTGGCCCACAACTCTGCCATGGCCTAGGATTTGGATACAGGGTGGGCATTCAATTTTATATCCTTCCTCATCTTTCTCCCATACAGTCCACTCTTATATGAGAGCCCTCCAATTAAAACTCCTTTTGCAGGGGGAACAGTGCAATATTGTACCCGACAATGTCGACGATATTGTAGCAGACCTGGCTCCAGAAGAGAAAGATGAAGGTAAGCTGCCTTCCTTTATTGCAGGTGGCAACATAAATTGGGAATAAAATGTAAACTATCTTTGGGGAAAGAAATTTGCTAACATATTTTTAAAGCCACAGAAAAACCCTTCGACTTGGTGATCCTTTTTTAAGAAAGATTTTTGCTTGGGAGATAATCAAAGTAAGGCCAAGGCTAGGCAGAAAGTATCAGGGAAATGGCGAAGGCTTGACCCTGGAATATGAATTCAACAGTATCAGGCCTTTAAAGTGTCATGTAAATGGCATCCACATCGGCTTCATGGGACTCAGATGACTCTCTGCTATGATTCTCACACTAGCCTGTGAGGCAGGAGTGGGTCCAATCACTTCTGCAGCAAGGAAAGTCAGCCCAGACTAGAGTCAGGAGGCAGTGGCCGAGCCCTCGCTTCAGCTCAGGGTATCTCACAGCACCCACAGCTGAACGAGCTGGGCACTCCTTCCTGGGTGAGAAGCCCACCTCTCCACGTTTCCTCAACTGTAAGACGGGGATGATAACAGAGCCTGCCTCCTAGGGCGCTGTGGTAAGGAACTGATGGGATGAATGAAGTTCTTAGAATGATGCTGGCACACAGTAAGTGCTCAGTGAACACTGGCCATCCTTATTCTCATCATGACACTGTGTGTGGGATCCTGGGAAGGTGAGCAACAACACAGAAAAAGCCTATGCGTCCCCAAATTACCCATGACATGCCTGCACCTGTGTGGAAACGCTGTCTGCCAAAGTGAGGGCTGGTGTTCGGGTGTTGAGGAGAAGGGACAGTAGGAGAATCTTTCCTGACTAGGAGGTTACTTCAGTTTGTATTAGTGGGATGCCATAGTATCATTTTTGAAAGGAAGTGAACGGCTGCTTGCATCCCAGGAGTACCCCACCTCCCCGAGGCTGGTTGGCCAGCAGGGATTTTCTTGTCCCCACGTGAACCTGTCCAGGGGGAGGGCCAGTCACAGCTCCCACAGGCTCCCAGGGAAAATATCTCACATACTTTTCCCAGATGACACCCCCGAAACCTGCATCTACTCCAACTGGTCCCCGTGGTCCGCCTGCAGCTCCTCCACCTGCGACAAAGGCAAGAGGATGCGGCAGCGCATGCTGAAGGCGCAGCTGGACCTCAGCGTCCCCTGCCCCGACACCCAGGACTTCCAGCCCTGCATGGGCCCGGGCTGCAGTGACGAAGGTGAGGAGGCGCCGCCACCAGCGCGGCTGACAGCAGTTCAGGAGGGAGGGGCCCACCTGGCCATGCCGGTGTCTCCTACCTGATCAGGTGGTGCCCCCCGGTGAACACTGGGACCCGGATTAGATTGTCAGTGGGGACTGACTGCCTAGGGCCACCCTCGTCTCCAACAGTGTCTTGAGGGCCGTGAACACAGATGTCTTAGGACATCAAAAGAATTCTTGAGATTGACGGACCACCCCCAGCCATGCAAGAAAACAGACACAAGACAGATTACAGAGAGTAAGCTCCCTGTTTCTGGGCCTTACCTCCAATTTTTTTTTTTAAGAAGCAGGTGAACATGTTGGCCAAGACTGAACCTAGATCCTTGCCCTAATTCTGTGTTATCCATGCACGGCCTGCCTCAGCCCAGGTCAGAGCCCTCACTTCCTTGCGTCAGGGCCTTTGGACTGATCGCAGCAGTTCTTCCCTTGTAACTGGACGAAGGTCAGGCTTTAAAAAGTCAGGCTTGAACTACACAACCTGTACAACCATGCCATGCTGGCTGAAGCTACAACACATGCTGATTGCTGTGCAAAAGCCAGCTGCCCACTTTCCAAGGTACAATCCTCTCTCTGCCTGAACAGATCTGGACTCTGCTCTGATCTTAACTGTCTCGGAGGCACAATGAGGCAGTAAGAAGGGATGGGTAGGCTGGGCTGGTTTATAGAAGGAAGAAAACCACTTCCAAGCTGAGGATAACTGAAGAGACCTTACTGCCCCCTGGCAGGTCATTCACTTTCTGGCTCTTCCTGGGGCTTGGTCTTAAACAACCTCTCCTGGATACACTGCACAGTGGCTTATGGCTGTCTGTGCCCGGGATGAGGCATTTCAGAGGGGAGTGAACCCTGCATGCACAGGCAGGGTGCAAGTCGTGACAGCCCTAGCAATGCTGGAGGCACTTTCTCATTCTTGGGGTTGAGGATGGCGGGGATGGGCAGATGGTCTGAGGCATTTCAGAGGGGAGTGCACCCTGCATGCACAGGCAGGGTGCAAGTCGTGACAGCCCTAGCAATGCTGGAGGCACTTTCTCATTCTTGGGGTTGAGGATGGCGGGGATGGGCAGATGGTCTGAGGCTTACAGGGGGAGCTGAGGTCTTAAAACCATCACCTCCAGAGGGGAGGAATCCTGGTGGCTCTGAGGTGGTAATGATAGTTCTGAAAATGGTTGGGCTATGCCTGTGGTTGTTTGGTGGTATACAGCAGCAAATTTACCAACTATCTTTAATTGTACCGTTGGGTGGTGTTACATATGCACATACACAATTATTAAACACCAACTCTGCAGCCCCCTGGCAACCATCATCCTGCTTTTAAAGAACTGAATATTCTAGGTATGTCATATAAGTGGAATCATACAGTATTTGTCTTTGACTGGTTTATTTCATTCAGCATAGGTTCATCCTTGTTGACGTGTCAGAGCTCCCCTGGGTCTAAGGTGGATTCTAGCTGTCTCCCACTGGCACTGCCTGGCACCACTGTCCATAGGTTCAGTAACAACATGCAGCCTTCACTCCTGTGTACATGTGACTGTGGATGTGTGCGAGGTGGCCTCACGCTGAGATCTCCATCCTTCTTTCTAGCTTCATCTCTCAGTGCCACACACAACACACTCTGGGCAGGTTGTTGCAAGAGCTAGTCCCTTCACCTTAAATACCGATATTCTCCACCCAACCAAAGGGCCCTCAGAGATGCCCTCCTGTGTGAAATCTACTCCAAGGAGCTTCTCCCCTTCCAATTCCCTGGGCTTACATCTGCTGTCATATTTTCAATACCTAGAATTATTGCCAGTTTATGTGCCCATCTCTTTCTGGAGAAGATGAAAATCCATACTACACACATCTTTTTAACCTCAGTCACCACATAACACTAAGCAGTCAGTAAATTTCAATTGACACGAGTAAATGGATGGATGGATGACTTCATATCCCTCATCCTTTTTTAGAACAAGCATGTATCACCCTCTTATACATCCAAACATCTTTCAAATGTATTGTCAACTAAAGGAGTAATCCCCAGTGCTTCATGCACCTGGAGAAAGTCATTTCCCTTAAAGAACAATTTCTGGTTTTAAAATGTGCGCCCATTACGTTGGCTTCCATCCTCAGTTGCCCAAATCCCCCTGAATGCCGGCTGACCACGTAGATTTCTGCCCTTGGGGGAGCTTGCTGGGTCGGTCGCGCGAGGCCCAGCAGCGTGCCGCCGGGGCTGCAGCGTCCACTCCGTGTTGCAGACGGCTCCACGTGCACCATGTCCGAGTGGATCACCTGGTCGCCCTGCAGCATCTCCTGTGGCACCGGCATGCGGTCCCGGGAGAGGTACGTGAAGCAGTTTCCGGAGGACGGCTCCGTGTGCACGCTGCCCACCGAGGAGACGGAGAAATGCACGGTCAACGAAGAGTGCTGTGAGTGGGGCGCCGGGCGGGGCGGGGCGGGGTCTCAGGGGCTGAGGCCGCTGACACCACCCCGCTGGGCTCCCAGCTCCCAGCAGCTGCCTGACGACCGAGTGGGGCGAGTGGGACGAGTGCAGCGCCACCTGCGGGATGGGCATGAAGAAGCGGCATCGCATGGTCAAGATGAGCCCCGCGGACGGCTCCATGTGCAAGGCTGAGACATCACAGGCAGAGAAGTGCATGATGCCTGAGTGCCGTGAGTGGGCGTGGGGGCGGTGGCCCTGAGGGAGAGGATGGAGGCCCTCAGCACTGTGTACCGCTGTCAAGGCTGCGCAGGTGCAGGGGGGAATAAAGGCCCCCATCCTGGCAGGGCACTCCCCTGTAAGATGAAAGCTATAGGTGTGTGGACATCATCCAGACCCACAGAGAGTGACCTCCTTTGAAGGAGCAATGCTGAGGAGGCACGCTGGTGGCCTCTAGATAGCATTCACCTGTAACTGTTTTTATAGGACCCCAGAGTATCTTTTCCAGGGGTTATACATGTAGACAGATTGTACATTCCTCAGGTCATCAGAGACCCCCTCATTCTTGTTCTGTTAGACTTGCCTGTGGCCCCATAAAGCAATACATCTGCTCTACACACAAATGCCATAGGCCGACCCATCACTACAGAGATGTACACACGCACTCAAGTACATTCTAGGGATTTCAGCACCCAAGTGTCCAAAAACCTCATTGAGCCTATATTTTACCGCATGGTTCTTGGGGCATGTGGGATGTTTGTCTCTAGTAAGACCCTATTCAGACCCTCAGGGCGTTTCAAATGGGGAAGTGTGTATTTGTATAACCAAGCCACATTATAAGCACCAGCTGGGCCAGGGGAGATGCAGGAGAATGACAAGAATTAGTGGTTTGCTGAGCCACTCCTGGCTCCATAAACGTCACTTGGGTTATCTAAACCCACTGGTCAATTTCACTTTACTCAAGGGGCCCGAGTCGGGGACAAAGGGTAGAGGGGCACCAGATCAAAGAAAGCAAACGGAGCCTGTTCTCAGTGGCAAACCCGGCTCTTGGTCTAGACACCATCCCATGCTTGCTGTCCCTGTGGTCCGAGTGGAGCGACTGCAGCGTGACCTGTGGGAAGGGCATGCGGACCCGCCAGCGGATGCTCAAGTCTCTGGCTGAACTCGGGGACTGTAATGAGGAGCTGGAGCAGGTGGAGAAGTGCATGCTGCCTGAATGCCGTAAGTCCTGGCGCTCCTGGGAGCCCCCTCTCCTCCTCCTAGCCAGCCTAGGTCCTGCAGTATGACTGCTGGCTGGAGAGTCCCACTACTGTCTACGAGATACCCAAACTGCTGTTACGCCTAAACAGGAGACTTAGATGGAAAAATGGCACAGGTTCAATAAAGCTTAATTTTGTAGTTCCCCACTCACCCCCCTCCCCCAATTTAGAGGCCAGTCTGACCCATGGGTTTTCCAAGTTTTTAAATTCTATTCCTCCCCACCCGTGACCATTTTATTGACCCATGACCAGAAGGTGGACATTAAACCAGTGGTTCCCTGATATGAAAACAGGCCAGCAAGCAGAGCCCTCAAAAGTCCCATACCCACCCTCATCTATTCTCAAATCTCTATGGCCAGCTGAATTTATTATCTAAGGAGACAGCCCATTTTTCTGGTTAGTCTTCCCAGAGAACTTCTCTTCAGGTGGTGGAAAGTCAGACTCATTTGCTAGGATGTGTTTTTCTGGCTTCCTTTGAAATGCACTTGCAGCCTCTGTGCTTCCTCTCCCTGCAATTACTCAGGTTGCCTGTCCCTTACTGGCTATATAAATCTCAGCACATTATTTAGCAACCCTCTCCCTCATCTGCTCTGAGACTTAAACCATATAACTAGTACAAAGTGCTGAGCCCACCAAGGAAGTGTAAGCCTCCACTGCTACTGCTGCTGCTAAGTCGCTTCAGTCGTGTCCAACTCTGTGTGACCCCATAGATGGCAGCCCACCAGGCTCCGCCATCCCTGGGATTCTCCAGGCAAGAACACTGAAGTGGGTTGTCATTTTCTTCTCCAATGCATGAAAGTGAAAAGTGAAGGTGAAGTTGCTCAGTCGTGTCCGATTCTTCGTGACCCATGGACTGCAGCCTACCAGGCTCCTCCATCCATGGGATTTTCCAGGCAAGAGTACTGGAGTGGGGTGCCATTGCCTTCTCCGGTGAGCCTCCACTAATGTTACATATTACACTTTCTGAGCTATTTTAACCAAAGTCATGTGTGGAGATGACCTAACCATCCAATTAAAGCCTCAGGCTTTTACTAAGATCGACCCCAAGTTCTACACAGTTCATTGGAGATGGGGTTCTGGAATCTTCTGAGATGCTGTTACCAACTTAAAACTCTATATCCACAGGGCCCAGTGAATGGAGAGAGAAGAAAAAGAACATTTATGGAATACTCACTGTGGGCCATGAACTGGGCTGAGAGTATTACTTCACTCAATCCTCACAACCCAACAAGAAAAATATCGTTATCCCCATGTTGTAGATGGGAAAGCTGCCGGAGCTCCCACAGGGAGAGAAGGGCAGACCATGAACAAAATGAGTTCTTCCTAGATCCAGCCAGCCTGGTCCCCACTTTGCAGAGGCAGTGCCTCATTTGCCTCCCTAGAAGACATCCTGAGAATCACTCAAGAGGTGTTAGCTTTCCTCCACGTGTGTGAGATGCTGGCTTAATGAAAACTGGCTGGATCTTTTATCATGATAAGCCATGACACCACTTGCTCCTTCCTTCTTCCCTACTGAATTTCCTGTTTCTGACTCCTGTGTGTTTTGACGATCACCATATATAAGACCCAGGATGATGTGAGAACAAGAGATTCTGCCTGGCTCTTACTGCAAAAGTCACAGTGTCCTTAGTATTATTAGTCCACGGGAGTAAATGGCACCAGTGAGCTGTGCCTTCCCTCAGGGAATCAGGGTCCTTGGCTGTGGAAAGCTGGTCTGGGCCACCTGAGGCTAATTTGACAACACTCTAGAAGCTTAGAGCAAAAGGCTCCAAGCTAATCTTCAAAGTCCCCCCAAAAGCCTTTTCAAATCATAAAGAGGGCACAGTATGTGGGTTTCAATTGGGGCACCAATTCTGCATCCACTGCTTACCAACCATGTGGGCTGGATAGTCAGTCTGTCTCCTAGAGCCTCAGTTTCTTCCTCCGTAAAAATGGAGTAACAGTACCTGCTTTGCATGTCCCAGAGGCTTGTGTCGAGATGTTCAAAGAAAAGTAAGTATCCAAATCTTATTTCAGAGTGAGATACACTCATGCACATCTGTGTCTTGCCAGCCATTGACTGTGAGCTCACGGAGTGGTCCCAATGGTCGGAATGTAACAAGTCATGTGGGAAAGGACACATGATTCGAACCCGCATGATCCAAATGGAGCCCCAGTTTGGAGGCGCACCCTGCCCAGAGACTGTACAGCGGAAAAAGTGCCGCATCCGGAAATGCCTCCGAAATCCATCCATCCAGAACCTGCGCTGGAGGGAGGCCCGAGAGAGTCGGAGGAGTGAACAGCTGAGGGAGCAGTCGGACGGGGACCAGTTTCCAGGTACTGCCAAGTGTGGGCTGGCGTTCAGGGAGATGTAAAAGAAGGGTGTTTCAAGGGATCAGGCGATCTTATTGCAAAGGAACTGAGGTACCCAAGAACAAGTGGTAAGTGGGCTCTAGAAGAACACACAGTATAGGGGAGGCAGGAAACCAGGCCACAGACAGAGGACAGGGACCAGACCAGGAAAGGTCTACTGGCTGCTGAGGACTTGATCCTGCAGGCCAAGGTTTTAAGTGACAGACTGACTTTTAACAGGCCTGTGTTGAGTGGTCTTGAGGTGGCAAAAATGGAAGCACAAAGACTGATTTAAATTTTCTCTGTAAATGAGGAGAGAGCTTATGTGTGCTCCTCCTTCAGTATAACCTAAGGAGTTCCAAAACTGAAAAAAAAAAAAAAAAATCCCCCTTAGGGCTTCACTGTGAATAAGCTGGTCCCAGCCAAGAGCGCAGTATCAGCAAAACAATGAAACAATAGCTGGGAACAGCTTTTTGTCTAATATCATTTCCATAGTCTAATATAAATATAAAATCAACAGCAAGTAATGTCACTAGCAAAACAAAAAAGCTGAGAAATGTGCATTAAAATGACATATGACATAACCACATCGATTTAGAATGCATTCCAGTATCGAATGACAAACTTCAACAATGCAAAATCCGCATTTTCATACCAACCTAATATAGACAGTGCTATGGAAGTTGTTTTTTGTTTTTTTTAACTACGATCTAACCTAATCTTGGGGTCAGGGATGTTTTCTCTGAGAAAGGAAAGTATTTACATGAGAAAAATAATCAATTATACCTGAGTTTGCTTGATACTGGGGAAGCTAAGCAATTGGGAGAGCAAAGCATTAGAGGAAGTGGTTACTTGCTCCTTGGCTGGTTGCTGCATTAATGAGCCACTCTAAAACAAATGAAATTTACAGGATTCTGTAGGGTAGTTACTTGGATTGACTTAGCTGGATGATTCCTGCGGGGTTTAGTTTAGGCTTATTTGAGTGGCTGCCGTCCAGCTGGTGGCTCAGGTGGGGCCGGAAGGTCTAGAGTGGCCTCACCTGTGTTTCTGGGGCATCTGTCCACGTCGTCTCCCCAGCATAACCACGCTTGCTTACACTGTGGTGGAAAAGGTTCCCAAGGGCTTTTTTTCAAGCCATGCTTGCTCATGTTCCACTGGCCAAAAGCAAGTCATATAGACAAACCCAGATTCTAAGGGTGGAGGAGGAGACTCTGCTCCTTGATGGGGAAGAGCTGCAAAGTACTAATGGACCATTTTAACAGTCAATCACCTATAAGCTAACATATGTGATAAGAACTCTACAACGTGATAAGAACTCAACAAATTATTACATACAAGATCAGAGAAGTCCAGACAACTACCTAGGTTTGACAGTTGTTTACTAGAGTTCAGTCTCCTTGTTCTTCCCGCCGTGTCTGCTGGCCTAACCAGGCCTTCTCATGCTTTCAGGCTGCAGGATGCGCCCTTGGACAGCCTGGTCAGAATGTACCAAACTGTGCGGAGGAGGGATCCAGGAACGCTACATGACTGTGAAGAAGAGGTTCAAAAGCTCCCAGTTTACCAGCTGCAAAGACAAGAAGGAGATCAGGGCATGCAATGTCCATCCGTGTTAACCAGGGTACACGTGTCCCAGGGCTGCACTCTAGACCCCCAGAGGCACCAACGGCTGGATCGTTTGTTTGCTTGTTTGTTTAAGGCAGTTTAAATCGTGTACACTAGTTTTCATTTCTGCAGGGTGGTCCACCCAGTAGTCCTGTGGATGCCTGGGCCACCCTTCTGTACACTTCTTGGTGGGCACAGATGGGGATGGGGCGGGGGGGCCTCCCTCGTCCTCAGCCGGCCCTCCTCCAGCACAAGTGAGTAGTGTCAGTCACCTGTGCAGAACAGAACGTGTCCCTCTCGAGCATCCACCTGGGCGGCAGGACAGAAACCCCAGCCTCCCCAACACTGAGAAGCAGCTGTGCCCGCAGCTGACCCTGTGCATCGGTGCCAGGGCCCAGCAGCGGGAAGACTTTCCTGATTGGGTGGGAATGAGAGCAGATTCCCCTCACTCTTGCCTGTAGCCTGCTTGCTCTTGCAGCAAACTACTGTTTGCTTCTCTCTTCTCATTTAGTGGAACTTTAGGGTCCCTTGTGGAGTCTCCTCAGTCATCACAGTTCTTGGGGAAAACAGCTGGCAAACACGAAGAGAAGAACTGATGTTGGGTGGCTTTCTTCTTTCACTGAGAAACTCTGAATCCAGTATCTCAACCCCTAATACTGGTTCCTGATACTCCAAAGGAAAGAAATGATGGCTGCTTTTTAAAAAAATATAACCAGTTCTTAGGGGTAAAACATACCGAGTCTAGAAATTAATATTCCCTTCTTTTGGGTTATTTTGGATATAAATCTCTTAGGAAGCCAGCCTTAAGAACCTTGTGATCCTAGATCCTTACTAGAACCACAGCAGCAAAACTGGCCTCTAGAGCAGTCCTAGGCTTGAGTTTTTTAAACCTTCCAACACAGACTTTTAAATTAGCAAACCAGTTTCTAACAAGAAAACCTTTTTTTCAGTTATGCAAACATTCTGCCGAGTTTGTCTGCAGCCCACCAAGCCATTCCTTCAACAAAAATACTATCTCAGAACTTGAAAGGGTTTTTATAGTCATAAAATTTTGTATGCAGAGAGAGAGTTTCAGAGACCAAGACAAATCCAGGAAGAAAGGAATGTCACAGAATCAAGTTAGCAGAAAAATCTGGTGGGAAGTCAAACTTACGTACATCAGCCCTCCACACCAAGGGTCTGGTCCTCTGACACAACCATAGGGAGGGTCATGGTTTTCCGTCCCCTTCCAAACACAAGCACACCAAATTCAGGGAGACTGACTACCAAGGATTAGTGTAAAAGGACATTTTACCAACTTGAGTCCATCAGCAGTTTCTACTCACTCATTTACTGTTAAAATTACTGTTCTGCTCCTGTTGCAGGCCTTCTTTACCGTGCTTAATCCAAATATATACCATGGATGAGATGCATACAATGCTTTGAATACACTACTTTAAGAATTTGCATTAAATACATCAGGATATTCCAAACACAACACTATATATATATATATATATATATGCTACAGCCTTGAATCTGTACTGTTTTAACTACAAGAGAGACTATTCAATAAAAAACTCATTGGGTCTGTCTTCTGTGTTTTAAACTATTTCAGTGTTCAAAAGGTTGGGTTTTTTTTTACAATTGTAATTCATTTCAGTCATATTCAGTAAGAGATATGCCTTTTGCACCCTCATTCTGGAGGGACCACTATTCCCATTCCTGAGCTTTCTGGGGGTCTGAATTGTTCCCAACATTTTTTTTTTAATCATTCAAGTGAATTGCTTCCTCCTCCCTTGTACAAAGCAGTACAAAATATAAAGAAATAAAGAGGTTTAATTTCTATTTGCACAAAAGAAAAAGCCCTGATATAGAATCTGCTTGCTTTTCCAACATTACTCTTAGCTATCTAAAAGTATCCTTCCTCCCAATCCGTGAAAATCGAAGTTCCATACAGTGGCAACTCCTAAGTAAGCTGAGGACAAGCCGCCCTAGTTTCTTGTGTTCTGTCTGGTCCCTATTTGGGTAAATTTTAATCCAAATCTTGGAGACTTAAAACCAGGCAACTGGTTAATGAATAAGAATGGGTAACATGTTTGTTACGTAAGTGTTAATTCTTTTTTGTTTGCAAGGGGGAATTTATACGAAAAGTCAAATCTCTTTCTTACCAAAATCTTGTGTTAGGTGGCTTATAGTTTTTCTGGTTAACCAAGCTTTTGGAAATAAAGACTTTTTACTACAAAATAAAATTTGTTTGGACTTCCACTTGAGATAGTAAACATAAGACACCCAGTAAAAACTGCCATACAAAGAACAGCTATAATTGTGTGTATTTTTATCAAGGCCAAACCACTCAGACTTCAATTTACATCCACATTTTAAAATGAAAATAAGATCAGAGATATATTCCCCAAACAGACATGGGGTCACTCACCTGTCACCTTGACGATGCATTATTTGAAGATACTCTGTTGTAGCAAATAAAAATAAAGCCTGGGCTTCTTCAGACCCAGAACTGAAAAAATTTAAATGATGATGTGCTGTTTTTAATTTGGACTTTGTATATTAAGCATGTTTTAGACATAGTCAAGGTCTGTGTACTTCTTCCAGGAAGTAAGGACACACTATACGTTCTCACATGACCACAATTCTCCAGAAACTTAATCCAGGTCAAGTCCACAGCTAAAACGTCACGACACAAAAATCTGCAATGTCAAATAACTTCTGTGGCCTAACCAACAGCCCACATGTTTCAGTTTAAAGGAGTTAAATATTAAACTGTACTAGGACTGAACAGCTGGCCCCTTTCCCCTCAGAGTTAAATATTTATGTCCTTAAGAAATGGACAGTATAGTCCAAATAAGATTATAAACATAAATGTTCAATCTCCAATTACAACATAGCATCAAGACAGACAGACATTCTACTCTTTGGTGCTATTAATTTTCATAACTAAATGATTTCATTTTTCATCTTACTCAAAATAGGGAGAATGAATGAAAACAGTCCTTTCTGAAAAAGAGATGCTGTAACAAACTATAAATAGCAGCTGAATGCTAACAAGCATGAAGATAATTTTTCAATTTAAATCCTTTGAAATCTGTAAGCAAAAGATCTACACTAAAATGTCGAATTTAAATAATAGCATCCTCAGACACTTAAAACACTGCTCTAGACACTGTCAAGTGTGCTCTGTCGGGCAGAGGAAGAAGCCTGGGTTCAAACCACTGTGTTATTTTACCTTTTCTGGCCTCAGGCTTGGTAACAAACTTTCTTACACTAAAGGATTTCTCTGCCCACCTCCACAATTTGCCAGTTTCCATCTTGAGAGCGAGTACTGATGGTATCCTGGCAGGAGGGTCACTGAACGCCATTATGTTGAGTGAAAAGTCTGGAACTGCATTTTTCTCTGATGATAGCTGGGTGAAAGTTTTGCATCTTTATTTTTTTTCCAGGACATTTTCAGTCCTAAGTGATAGAAATACAACTCAAGCCAGCTTCAACACAAAGCAGGCATTTCTTGGTGTACAAGGGAGCGAGGGACTGGTGGGGTAAAACTGGCATTCATTATCACTTTCTCATATTGCTCTAAATTCTTCATAAATCTCAGAATATGTCCTTACTTTCTTCCTGGTTTTACAACTTACTGGTAACAGTTCTCATATTTTAATGGTACTCCTATTTAAGGTAATAATTTTCATAGTTTAAGTGTTCTGTGTTTAGACAACTTACTTCAAATATTAAGAATTTTAAGTATTAGAAGGGAAAGGGAACAACATCTTATTCAAGACTACTGATTACAGCACTGAGAGTTTAAGAGTCCCTTTTGGCTAGTGTAAGCATGTAACTCCTCCTGGGTGATCTTAACCTGGAAATTACCAAGCCATCTAAGCACTCAGATGGGCCACTCATGAAAAATCCCTGGGTCTCCTGCTCCCTCACACACTGCGTTAGTGCCACTCCGAGAGAGACTGCAGCCTGAAAACATCCACAAACTGACCATTACCATCCTCCGACGAAAAACAAATTAAAAGCATTCAGAAACTTTTAATTTGACATTGCCACAATAGCCCAGAGTATGATTATGTTTCTAACAGTTCATATTTTGTATTTAGTGAACTGTATCGTTCCAGGACAGTGGAGATTTAAAAAAAAAAAAATTTTTTTTAACTGGTCCTTCACCTCAGTCTGAGAAGCACTGCACTACGCCATTCCCACTAATCAGTCAGAAAGGAATGTCGCCTGCAAACCAGAAGCTTCTCAATCTCTCAAGGCTCACATATGCAAATGGGGATAGCTACTTCCAAGATGCACACACTTACATGTCTATGACTGAGTGCCCTGCACTGGCTCATTTTCTTATCCCTCCAACATCCTACCCTATCAAGCAAGACAGCTGCCCTATCACCCTCTGATTATGCCACAAAATTTGTCCGAATGGTAACCCTAGCTTCCTTCCTTCACTTCCTTTTCCTCCAATCACACTACAACCAGATGGCCAAAATGAACCTCTTGAACTCACCAGCAATCTCTAAACATGCACTGCTGCTCCTCATTCCCCAATCCCTGAGCAGCACCCAAAGCTCATATAACTACCCTAAACTTCCTTGACAACAGTCTCCTGAGTCTTTCCAATTATGGGCTGCTTCTCCTGGCTTTCTTCTGCCTTTTAATTTCCTAAATGTTCGTTTCCCCAAAAAATTTTACCCTGGATGTTCTTTCAAATACACTTTCTGCCTCAATTCACTCCTACCTCTCCAATCATTAGCTCACAATAGATCAATTCCAAATCTGCAGCTTTTAGTTCCAGCCTCTTCTTTCACAAATCAATACCTATTCCTCAATGCCTCCTGGACTAACTCTGTATGTACCTGCCACAGTCGTCATATATTTTGTCTTCTAACTAGAAGGCTATCTGTGCCCCTTGTTCATTCATCAAATGGTTTTCAGCATATGCCAGGCAACATGGGTAAAGCAGTAAACCCAATAGGTACAGTTCTGCCTCATAGAGCTTATGATATTCAGTTAT